GGGCACTTTATAAAACTTGCATGCAAACTCCATTTGCTGCTGTGGGAAATGAGAGCGAACAACTGGAGTAAATATTGAGAGAAGACTTTTAAGCTGCACCATAAAAAGCACTAAGTATTGTTCTGAGGCTTAATGCACCGTGTTTGCGTTGCAGAGAGCTACCAGCTGTACGTCCCAGAACTGGCTCCGGTAGGTAAAGCGGTGGGTCGGATCAGAGCCAACGACGAAGACGAAGGGCAGAACGCGGAGATGACCTACAGCATCACTAATGCGGACGCAGCTGCCATCTTCACTATCAGCACCGACGCTGACCGCAGGGAGGGAATCATCTCCCTCAAGCAGGTATGAATCACAGATCACAACACTGACGCTTATGTAAGTGCATCATGTTTTCCTGAGTGTGAACTGCAGTTTGAAGTGCAGCTGTGAAGGGCAGAGTGGTGGGAAAAAACAGAACAGGATGAAGCTTCTCTTCTCTGGCTTCTGTTTAGTCTCTGTGCAGTGGCAGCTTAGCTTGACTCATGTATCAGGCGTTGACATTTGTGATTAAAAGGGCTGGTCACATTGCCTCAGTGCAACATAAAATAAAATACAAAAAAAATTACACATTTGTAGCCATAATGAGTAAAAAAAAAAAAAGGATGAGTTTGGCAAGAAAAGTTCTGCTTCATTTTCTATGCAGTTCCTGGACAGTGTCATCTGTCTCCTTGCATACATACTGTAGAGCAGGTTATCTTTTAATATTTAATAACTGCTGCACACACAGTATGAAAGGAAGCATTTTACAGGAACCGGAGGCGCACAGACACACCAGTATCTTTCACTTGAAGCTTACAATTTGAAGCTTGACAGTTAGGTGAAGTATTATCTGCTGAGTCCCTCGGTGGCAGTGTTCAGTGTCAAAATGGGATTTAATCCACGGCACAAAAAGTGCTCACGGAGCCTTTTCACAGCAGATAATTTGGCACATCACAGAACAAAGGTGAAACTGATATCATTAAAAACAAATTAATTCCATTTAGGTAGCCCTGTTTCGAAGGTGCTGCTTATTGTTCTTGCTGGCTTACTGTCGCGGCTTACTGAGACTGAGCCATTGCAGCCAATTATTTAACTTTCCCTGGTGTGGCGAAGAAAAAAAAAAACTCTCTGCGGTGAAAAAGGTCTATTTGGAACCAACTGCAGCTCAGGCACAAGGCGTAAAACGAGGCTTTGCTGCTGCAGCGGCTCATCTGTCCCATAAATGTGTGAAGCCAGCCAGTCAGGGGGTCAAAGGTGAAGAAAGAATATATGCATAGAAATCTGTGCACCGTGCTCAGCCAGACGAATAGAATGATTGTGTGTTTAGATTGTGCACACGACTTGGTGGACAGATTGCTAAACGAAACATATGTTTGAAAGAGAACTTGGACGGAAAACTTCTAGAACTTGGAGTTTCTTTCAGAACTAACTTTCAGAATAAAAGCATGAACCATCCATCATCTATACACCGTTTAATCCTCATTAGGGTCGCGGGGGGGCTGGAGCCTATTCCAGCCGATTTAGGGCAAAGGCAGGGGACACCCTGGACAGGTCTCCAGTCTATCACAGGGCTACACTTAGAGACAGACAACCAAGGACACTCACATTCACACCTACGGACAATTTAGAATCACCAATTAACCTCAACATGTTTTTGGACTGTGTGGGAGGAAGCTGGAGAACCCGGAGAGAACCCACGCTGCACGGGGAGAACATGCAAACTCCACGCAGAAAGATTCCGGTGCCCCCACTGGGACGTGAACCGGCGACCTTCTTGCTGCGAGGCAACTGTGCTAACCACCTGCGCCACCCTGCAGCCCGAGCATGAACCAACCATTGTAAATAAACTGGTAAATAAATAATGCAACACAGTCAGAGTCCTGCCAGCTGCTGTCAAGGTCATTAAAGCATATCAGCCATGAGAAATTCATCTCTGAATGTAGAAGCTACACCAGGTGGACTTCACGTTATCCTCACATGTGAGTTAATATTCCAAACTTGTACAAGGTCCAGAGATGGCAAAAGTTCTCACATTCTTTACTTAAGTAGAAGTAGAGATACTTGTGTAAAAATGGACTCTGGCAAAGGTAAAAGTACTGATCCAACTCCTTTACTCAAGTCAAAGTAAAAAAGTGCAGGTTCAGAAATTTACTTAAGTACAAAAGTAAAAATGAATTTTTAGCTCAGATGATACGTGATGCCTCTTTTGATAACTGCAAAACGAAAAAAGGTGTTAAGCACACAAAATAGGATTGTTTTCATCCTTTAAGAAGCTGCACAGTGCTGCTACAGAGAAAAATATCACTGGACAGTTTTCCATTTTAGCAACATTATAAACATTAAACCCTATAATCAACACTCGTCTCTTCAAGACTACCAACATCTTTTATTGAGCCTCAGTAGAAGCTGGTTCTCAAAGTTCTTTGAATGAAGACGTTTCAGCCCTTTTGGGTCTGAAAATCAGTCCTGCAGAGCTAAAAAGCCTCTGGCAGGCAGCTGAGGCAGGCAGGACTGTGCTGAGCTTCAGTGACAAATTGCACACTGCTGGTAAAGATAAAGACGTTTGTTGTCTTTTACGTCATGTCGTCATCCGTGGAGGCTGAAAGAAGTAACGAGTTAGTTTTGAGAATGTAAGGAGTAGAAAGTACAGATATTTGTGTTCAAATGTAGGGAGTAAAAGTAATACTCAAGTAAAGTACAGATACCTGCAAAATCTACTTAAGTACAGTAACAAAGTATTTGTGCTTCGTTACTTCCCACCTCTGACGAGGTCAACACATGCACAGTGTCTGAGAATCATTATCGTATGTGCAGAATACTGGCAACAGCATGTTTTACAGAATTCCAAGTTCAGTTTAGTCAGCCCTCTGGTCTTGTGCACATCTTCACTGCAGTAGTTCGTCTCATCTATATATATATATATGTATATGTTGAAGATGTATTTTTTCAAACAGCTTTCCAGTTATTTTGCCCTCTGGACTGTCAGACATTTCCTAACAAAACACTGTTGTAAAGTGGTCTTAAATGCAATTAGAGTTAATCATAGATTTTATTATCTTAGCTTGGGAAATGATGCAAATGATGAAAGAAAGGCCGAGTAGTTACTGAAAGACAGCTGTCGGTGCAGCAGCGAGGAAAGAATTAGTCACAATCAGCAGTACCACAGTGTGAAAACAAGTCCTGCTTTTAAATATCTATTTAGGCACTTATTTTCATCATCCAGGTTTTGGTCATTAAAAGTAAAATTAAGAATGTTAAAAACATAACATCACGACTTAAAAATTGGGCTTTAGCTCATTACTTGAGTGTTCTGTGGTTTCTTCTCTACCTCCGCTGTTAATGTGATTAGATTTAATCCAGAATATCAGGGTAAATTACCATGTTGTTTAGTATATCATCCTGGGACTTGAAATAATGGTGCAACAGTCTTTTCTGCTCACAATCAAACTGGTCATGGGTGGTACAACATCGATATGTTTTCATCTCCAACAGTAATCGGATTGTAAAAGCTGCAACAGACACTGATGTCCTGAATCATGCAGTTTGATTCGTTTAGTTTTATTTCTGCCAAGAAAATAAAGGTACTTTCAAATAAATGTGAGCAAATCAAGTGTAATTCTTCTATCAAAGTGCATTTTGGAGACATTACGATCAGCTACAGTGAAAAAGGCCAAAACGTTTCGTTTAACGTTCGGGCGGATTGTGCAGCTAACCAGCTGCTGCTATGAGAGTCACCAGCAGCAGATTTATCAAGTGCAAGGTCACAGCTTGAAGAATGTTCTTCCTCTTTCAAAAATACCAAAGTGAACTGTACAGGAAATTAAATTGGATCAAATCCAGCATGCATGGCTGGTGCCGCCAGCTTCAGCTGAGTTGAAATCCTTTGAGATGGTTGAATGTGCCTGATTTGGCTCCGCAGCCTTTGAACTGTGACAGCAGGGATGCAGGTAAACTGAAGTGACAGATGGGAACGGAGGTATTTGTGCTATAATGTACTTTGTATTTCAAGACAAGGCTGCATTAAGCTGCTCTTTCGCCACTGTGTTGCATCAAATTGTCAATTATTAACAAGATGTAACTTTTAATGCAAAATGTCCTGACCTTTAAGGGTTAGTCTTTCAAATGTGTCTCTAATAGGATGTGCTTTCTGTCTCCTCCACAGCCGCTCAACTACGAGAAGAGAAAAGTTCACACACTGAACATCGAAGGCTCCAACACTCACCCAGACTCCCGCTTCTCCCACCTGGGGCCATTTAAGGATTCCACATCGCTGCGCGTCATCGTGGGCGACGTGGACGAGCCTCCCGTCTTCTCCATGGACTACTACATCCTGGACGTGTATGAAAACTCCCCTGCAGGCACCCAGGTCGGGACTGTGACTGCTGTGGACCCTGACAGCACAAACAGCGCCATCAGGTAAAGGAGACAGGCGGTTATGTGATGTTTGCGCAGGTGCTTTTGCATGAGTACGTCATAGGGCTGCACGGTATTGCTGATATTCAGGTTTTCTGCAGTATGTAGCTTAGTAAATCCAGCACTTGTATAATTTACCAATTAGATATGCAGTGTGGGATCAAAGCTCTGCAGCCTTCATTATGTTCACCACATTGTCTGTTGAGGTCGCTCATAGAGGCCACAAACAACCAAAACTTCTCTCATTCTTGCTGCAGTATTCTCACTTGTATAATCATCTGGGACAAACACAACGACTTTTCATTTGCAAGTTCTCATTTGTAAAGTGGACAGTCAGACTTTTGAAGGGTTTCGTTGCTCAGCTGGACCGCATGGCCGCTACAGCTGCATAATATTCCACTAGTTGAATTGTCCACACAGCTCTGGGATGGACACTTGAGAAACATATGTGTGTCATGGTACTACATAGGGCTGCAAGGTGGCGTGTTGGTTAGCGCCGTCACCTCACAGCTAGAAGATCCCTGGTTCACGTCCTGGTAAGGATGCCGGAGATCTTTCTGTGTGGAGTTTGCATGTTCTCCCCGTGCAGCGTGGGTTCTCTCCAGGTTCTCTGGCTTCCTCCTGTTGTTGAGGTTAACTAGTGATTCTGAATTGTCCGTAGGTGAGTGTGCTTGGTTGTCTGTAGCCCCTGTGTCCCCTGCCTTCACCGTAAGTCAGCTGGGATAGACTCCAGCCCCCCACGACCCCAGTGAGGATTAAGCAGAGTATAGATAATGGATGGATGGTATTACATACCACTTTTCAAAGCTAAGTCACCTGAAGTAGCTTTTTGCATACAGAGACCAGTCGTGCAGATCTGCAAGAACTGCAGGACGCTGCAGACAAACAACCTGTTTTGGTCAAGATCGTCCTTTTTGTAGCTAAAATATTTCAATACGGGCTGCA